AATGTCTGGCTCCGCCTCTGGTTTGAGGCACTTTATTGTCACCACTCAATTTCTGGGGCTGTAATCACAGCGGGTGTACATAGGTGTGTGTCTGTGTGTGGTTTTCTACAAAGGAAATAAACAATGGAAATAACGATAAATAAAGAGAATAGACAAGTAAAACACTCAAATACAGACATAATACAATATAGTTAACACAATTAAATATAAAGATCAGAAAAATATAGTACACTTCAAACTGCTCACACTATGCAACTAAACGGCATTAGTGCGAGGTTAAGTTACCGTGGGGACACAGGAACTTCCGGTAGTTATATTATAAAAAAAAAAAAAAGTAAAGCGTCCGCATTATAATCAGCTGTAATGCTCTTATTGCGAAGGGCAAGCAGGAACGCCATACTTCCGGTCGAACTATGTTTGCTATTTTATTAATCCTCGTACCTAATTGTTCACTACAAACTCCGCTACTTTAAAGTAAACAATCACAAGCATCACATACAACATATAGGGAAGGTCTGATAACACAGGAATGACGTTATGGACATACGAGCGACCGTCATGCGTCAACAAAGCTAAACCGAGGTAAGCTAACAACATAAATTAGCATATGAAATGAGGGTGAACTCACGCGCTGCATGCGTGGCCTACCACTCCAACTATGGACTACATTAGCTCCTAAATGGTAACATACTACAGTACTGACACAAACAACGGCAAAATACAACACAGGCCAATACTTACTTGTCATTTACGCACATATAACATTCCCCAGGAATCAGTGCACCCCTCCGGACCAGCACTGCTCATCCGACATTAAACTGCCCACCTTACTAACCGTCACTAGAAGGTGGGCTGGCCCAAACTGACAGAAGACTGAATATTAAATTAACTTAGATAAACTTATAAACACCAATAAAACTATTCTATGAACTTTGGGGCCTTTTATACAAGTTAATCTCATTACAGCAGTTTGATGTTTCCCTTTGAATCCCCCTGAAGATCCTGACAGTGAAGCACGTACATAATACTCCAGCCTTTCAACTCTGAGCTTATTTAGTTCTATTAATACACTGAAATCTCATTTGTGTCATGAAGAAAGTCTTTAATCAAACAGAATTCAAAGATCAGAAACATTTCATATATGGAGTTAAACATGAATCATTGTTTCAACAACACATTTATTGTTGTCATAAACAGACAAGAAGACAACAACAAACTGCTCCTCCCATTCAACACATGTCAGTCCATATCCCAGCAAACTAAATCATCTCCATTTACACATCAAATAGAAACATGAATCACTTGTAATGATTAGAAACTTGATAGAATTTAAAATCTAGTTTGGGGAGTCATTCAGTGAGAAACAGTGAAATGATTT